ATCTTCCCACCGTTGTGATTGGCAACGACCCTCCCTCGTTGGGGCTCTTCCATGGCATTCATTTGCCGTGCTGCGTGCTCAACTTCGCACATGAGGACTGGAAGTATACACTTTCTTTTGTCTGTTGCAGTGATGCTGTGGCGACTCGTGTGTTTGATGCAAAAAGTTGGGTGTAAAGTTCTTACAGATAGACTGCATCTCTCTCTGTCAGACATATGTGAGTCATTTTCATGTTTCCGTGATAGTTGACTGATTAAAAGCGAACTCTCCTGCATTGTTTGAGGTTACTGCGGTATTGGCTGCTTTCTGCAATGCCATCTGAAAGTCTAGAAGTTCTCATTCAGTGTCAGTCTAACGAGTTTGAAGAGGAGACAGTACTTCGACGTGTCGGCGCATCTCTCTTCATTCTTCGCCACTTCTCTAGCAGACTCATAGTCTTTCCCACCACCCTTTCTTTCCCTCTCTTTGATGTTACTACGTCGGCGACTTTACTCACTGCTTCACTTTCCCGATGAACTTCTTGTAGTCGTGCTCACAGCTGCTTTTCAGACTACAGTCTTCCATGGAAATGCGCTCTTGTAGGATCGCCTCGTCGAATACCTCCTGTCTTTTTCTGCAATTTGCTATCTGAAGTGCCTTCTTTTCCGTACTCTCCTCAGAAATAAACCTCACCCACTTCTGACTGTGGAAACTCCCGGTGCTAAATGATGACATTGTTCCGATGTTTCGGATGAGGTGGCGTTTACTAAAGAGGACGAAGTCGAGTTCGTTTTTTGTCACCGCGTCTGGCAAAATCGATATCTACCTCATGTTGATCTCCTACTTGAATCAGGTAGTGCCATATACATATGTTTTGTTTTGTCATGGTCAGAAACCGATCTCGTCCATTTTTCTCTCTCTTTGCCTTGCCTACCGAAAACGTGCGATATAGACTTTGGGACCAATGTCTGTTACAGCTCTTAAAAAACTCTAAACTTCCTCATGGTCAGGTGTACCACCTACTGTGGAAACATTGGTTTGGACGATATTCAAGATCCTCTTCTTGTTCAGTTCAATGCACATCAGGCTTGGTGACTTCACATTGGAGGAAACGATTCTGGAGGACAAGCTTTTGCTGACCACAAATGCAATTTTTCCAATGGGCTTCGTGGTCTCTCGTCTTTCTAGCCAAATCGAACAACCGTCTTTCCAATTGCCATTCACCTCCTTCCGCCATCCTGCCTTTATTATT